ATTTTTTCAAAAATCAACCTATCTTTTCAATTTCATGCATAAGTGGACAAGAAACGACAATTTTTCTTTTTTTTTTTACTTGCTTATTGGTACCCTTGGAGGTCCATATGGATGTCCTCTTATGCGTGCACCCAATACCCAAATTTATCAATTAACCGGTCGTCCCTATACTCCGTCCGGTAATGAGCACCAAACATTCCATCGCCTCGATTCCCCGTCCAGTATGAGGATGAATTATATCTTCCAAACCGTTCTGGTATGAGACTTTTTAGCCACGTCCGACTGAGATAACGTTCGCGGTAGGGTTCTTTATATACCGGGCTTGTCCACCCTTTCCCAGGATACCTAGTAAGCCTTTTACATAAAAATTTCCATCAACAAAACAACCACCCAACACATATCAATATCTTATATCATATTCACAGATTAATTAAACGATATTTATGCAAACAATACAATTTTATATCTTAATAACCAAAAAATGTACTAAGAACCTTTATTTTCAATCAGTTAATCGGATCAAAAAAATAATGACTAGACAGTTAATAAATGAAAAAATAATTAAAAGCAATAATTAAAGCACATGGCGGAAAAATAATTAATTTAGGTAGCATAGGAAAAAGAACAGGCAACACAGACAAATTAGGGTAAATATAAACTGACTGATTCTGGCTCCACTAGTGACCTGTAATTATTTTTAGGATTTTTTTAAATTTTTCACAAAACACAGCATTATTGATTATTAAGTCTCAATTTACCATAACAGGGAATAAGATAAGGGATTCTTACCCGGATCAGTATTTTGAAACATCATACTATCTACTACATCTTCTAATGGGTCTCAAGTTTCCTGAATTTTCGCTACAAAAATTAAAATACTCATCACATGCCTAAAAATATCATAAAAAACTCAAAATCGGTGTTGAAAACTCTTTCCGACCAATTTTAGGATTTTGGCACAGCAGCGCCACCGTACTCTAGCATTGGCTCCGCTGCCCAAGATGACTATTCGCCTCGATCTGGCCGATTTTGGTCAGTTTTACACGTATCCTTGCGAAAAAATACATTAGGAGGCTTCAGTTGGTTAGAAAATAAAAAAAAAAGTCAAACCTACCAGCGGGGGGGTCTCCGGGTGCGGTGGCTCTGCCGGTTCTCCTTCGCAGCTGATGTTTCTTCTTTGGCTAACATGCATAGAAAAGAACGATGAATACAATGGTCAAAAAATTATGTGAAACGGGCCACAAAAAGGGGGTCATCGGAGAAGGTTTATAGTTTTGATCGCGGCGGCTTCGTCGGGTTTTGTCCGTAGTTTCTAACTCACCCGTCGTCTCTTTTGCTCCAATATGACCATAGGGAGGCTTGGAATTGAATTTCGAGCGCGGAGGAAATTTTTTTTACCTTTTTTGGCAGTTAATGGTGGCTCTGGTGCAGCGGCAGCCAGGGATTGACCTCCTTCTTTAGCATCTGATTCTTCTTCTCTGGCGAGGGCTGGGCGGCTAGGGTTAGATTCTCATGCGATGCGATGTTTAAATACCCATATCGTGTCGATCTAGGTCGTCCGTTCGGGGACACGTGGAGCGAGGAGGACCATTAGATAATTTTTCGTTTAGGTTGATTACGTGGACGAATCTGGACCATCCATTGCAATCAATCTCGTCCGTCTGATTGCGTCTAAAGAGAGAATGCATCTGGGTCGCTCGTGTGCGCAGGATGCGATTTGGACCGTCAGATCGCCTTGGCACGCGGTTCGCTCACGTGGAGCCGATATAAGCCTACCTACCACGCAACATGCTCTGGTTCGCTTGAGTTGCTGACTGGGCGGTCCCACGTGATCAAATTTTATCTTTTTACGATTTAGTTCCCTATTTTTAATTTTTCTTTCAAAAACATTTACCCTGATTCAAAATTTTGTCATTTTTTTTAAATTATTTTCAATTTCGTTACTAATTCATTTTTTTCTCAAAATTTAATAAAATTAGATTTTAATCAAATTTTATTAATTATTTATATAATTTTTATAAAGAAAAAAATTATTTCGGGTCGATTTTCGGATTCGGATATTAAAAATATAATGAGATCGGGAATACCATGGGGAGATGTAAATAAAACAGTGGGAAGATGGCGGTAATTATAGATCTGGAAGAGATTTAAAGAAAAATCATAGCTATTAAAGGGTAATTATGCATACTAGCCATAATATAACTAGGGTGTTGCTTGTGTTATGCGAAAATGTGTTGCGAGTGGCCGGTCATGAGGCCGTGTGATTGAGTCATTGTGTAACATGAGTCGACGGTGTAACAGATTTTGGTGCGTGTGCTGTGGCGACCTGTTTGTGGTGTGTGCGCGTATAACTGCGTGTAATATGATGATTACAGTGTCTGTTTCTCTGTTAGCCTTGTGTGTATATTGTGGCTATGTAATGTTGCCGGAATGGGCAAGAATTGGTTGAACACGGGCTCTGCATCCTGGATTTGTGAAAATAAAAAGTGTTGGATGGCATAGTTTGGAATGAATTGGGGCTCGGTGAGACGAATATGATACACTGGTACGAAGACTTCGGAAGAGTAGCGTGTAAGAATCGGCGGAGTGAGAGAGACAAGTAAAAGAGGAGGAAAACAAAAAAAAAAAGAGAGAAAAAGAAAAAAAAGATCTGAATGGGCAATAACTGCAGAAAATTAAGATTATAGGGAGTTAGATAATTGTCCTCATTGAGGATCAGGGAATAACATAGAGTTAAATGAGAGAGGCAAGGGTGGTGAGAATTGTAGCTCTGGTGGTTGAGTTTGAAGAGGGTGTCAGAATGAATAAATCAGAATCTAGAGGAAGTAAAGAAAACAAAATATAGTGAATCCCCATAACCGACTAGATCAGATTCACAGATCTGGGGTAAGGGAGTAAACAAAATAGAAAATGGTATGACTGGAAATAGGAGGAATATATGAGTGAACCCGTACTTTGTTGAGTCGTTGAGTGGCTGTAGGATGAAAT